AGTGTTTTTTTATTATTATGGATTACAGTTAAACTATGAAATAATCTGCTCCTAAACTGAGATAAAAGTAACAGGATTGTCATCTCTTGGTCTGTTCTTCCAAGAACAGCATTGTTTTGGGAAAAAAAAATGCGTTTAAAACAAAAAATCAGTAATTTGCAGTTCCTGTCTCTGAGAAGACAGCTGGCACAGATGGTCAGCGTGTGGCAGTATTTAGTTTTTAGGCAAATATTTGGATTTCTTTAATATTTTTAATGGAAATGTGGAAATGCTTTTGTTTTAAACTTATTTAAGTTTGGATTTTCTTACAGGTTTTTGAGCCCTGAATTTATACCTCCCAGAGGAAGAACAGATCCTCTGAAGTTCTATATAGAAAGAAAGGATATGATACAGAGACGAAAAGTCTTCAACATCCCCGAGTTCTATGTTGGTCAGTAGCAGCACTGGAACTGTCATACTTCTTAACTGTTGTTCGTTGGGTGAGATGGTTAAAAGCTCTGGAATTGAGTTATCATGGGACATCGCAGCATCTGCTGTGTTAGATCAGCCTGTGTGTGTGTCTGTGCTTACTAGTTCATATTTTAAACTCATTCAATTTCCAGTGAAAAGATAATACTTTGTGTTTCTTTCAGATAATTTGTGTATGTTTTTTTTAACTGGCATTTCAGTGTGGTTAATGAGTAAAACTCAAGGAATGGAAACTGATTATTTGTGTTCAGTTTGTGTAAAAAAAACTGTACAGGTGAAGGCTTAAGGAGGGACAGAGCTTTACAGTTAAGTGCAGAATCACTTTTAGCCTGTTCTGAATGAATGTATGCTACAATTTATTCTGTTTCTGGCAGTTCAGTTGGATGATTAACCATTTTTGAAACGTGCCTGTGCTCCACCTGACCCTTGTACCATGTGCTGGTGTTAGTTGCTTGCACAGCCTGCTGTTTTTCCTTGGTTCCTTTTGCAGGCAGCATACTTGCTGTTACTACTGCAGATCCGTATGCTGATGGCAAAACCAACCGGTTTGTGGGGATCTGCATTCAAAGAGGAGGAAGAGGGCTTGGTGCGACCTTCGTGCTTCGGAATGTGATCGAAGACCAAGGTGGGATTTCCATTGAGGCAGTAATCCATACATTTGAACACATGGCACTGCTTAGTCATTTTATGCCTGTGTGCTGTGTTTCAGATCTGTACTCGCATGAGGCTGAACGTGTGTGGTGGCTGCACACTGATGGGCAGCTCAGATCCATCACACTGTTCTCTCACTCTCCCTACTCAAAAGACCAGGGGAAAAAATATATATGAAAAAAGGGTTGTAGGTTGAGATAAGGACGGGGAGATCATGTTCAGTTACCATTGTGGACAAAACAGACTTGGCGTAAGGGAGGTCAATGTAATTCATTGCCGAGTAATAACAAACTCAAGTAGTGGGGAAGTAAAAGCAAACTGAAAACACCTTTCCTCCTTTCCTACCTTCTCCCCTCAAGTGGCACAGAGAATGGAGGCTGCAGTCATTTTGTAATGCTTTGTATCTTCACTCTCTTCCCCTGCTCCAGCATGGCATCCCTGCCACAGAATGCAGTTCTTCCTAAACTTACTGCTAGCCATGTAAGCCCTAGAGCCAGTTTGGGCACTGTGGATTTGTTGCACTTGTTGCACAGTTCAGGCCCACGGCATAACAAATGTGTCTGTGTACACACACACACACACTCATTCTCAAGCCATTGTGTTACCAACAACTGGACTTACTTGCCTGTGCAAATGCAGGTGTAATGCATGTGAACAATCACCTGTACCCACAGCACTGCGTATGTTGTTCCCTGTACAGGTGGAAAGCAGCTCTTAGATTATACAGAGTTATAGAACACTGAAGAAATACTGAATTGGTATTAGTATTTCCAACTATGTGATCACTGAACCAGACTTCCTCTCTCGAAGGTGTTGAAATTTGTTATGAGCTGTACAGTCCTCGAATCCAGGAAATCACAGTTCTGAAGCTGGAAAAAAGGCTGGATGACAACCTGATGTACCTGAGAGATGCCCTTCCTGAATATAGTACTTTTGATATGAATATGAAACCTGTGTCTCATTTAGACCATGAGGAAATCCCTGTAAACAAGGTAGGAGTTCAATATTTTAATGGGAATTAAAATAGCAGGGGATAATTTAGTTAACTTTCTGACTGATACAGGGGTTGCATCAGGGTGCTGAGCCATCCCCTGGGGCTGCTGCAGGGCTCCATTTGAGGGCCAGATAGAGGACTGCAGCAGGGAAGGCTCAGGGTGGAAAAGCTTCTGCAGCAGAGGTTGATCAGTCATGGAACAGGTTCCCCAGGCCCAAATATGCCAGACTTCAAGGAGCCTTTGGACCCCACTCAGACACTGTGGCTGGTTTTATGTGGAGCCACGGGTTGAACTCCTATGATCCTTTGCAAGTCTCTTCCAAGTGGCCATTTGATAATCGCCTGCAAGGCTCTTAACTTCTAGTTGTGTTAGTGATACAAGTATGTAACACCTGGTGCCTTAATGCTGCTCCTGTAGTGAAAACATTTATAACCGAGTACCTGCCTTCCTCAGAAGGCAACTTAGAAGAGACGGCAGGAAGTAACAGCCTGCAGGTTCCTCTGCATTACATGCAGACAGCACAGCCAAGACTGGAAACTTCATGCTATTGACTTGGGGGTGGAAGGAGCAAGATCTGCACCTCAGGAGCTCTGGCAGACTGGTAAAAGAATGCCATCCACCTTAGCTTAGGGGAAAAGGACAAACAGCTGCTGCCATGTTTTTTTTTTCCCTAGTAACACAGTTAGAACCATAGAAGAGTTAGTTAGGGCATGCTGCTGTAAGGACCGTGTAATAGATCAGTTTCATTTAGGTTAATTAACAGACATAAAAGACAGAAAATCCCTTTTCTCCCACTGATGACCAATAGTCCCTTAGTTTACTGACAGATTGGTCTGTTTTTTCTATTAAAGCAGCACTTGTCTCACTACTTTTGGTTCACAGTCAGAATTCTGACCTTTTAATACGTTTCATTTTTTATTTTTTTTTTAATCTTTCCCCCTAGCTGCAGGTAAGAATGAAACCTAAACCATGGTCAAAACGGTGGGAAAGGCCAAAATACAACATAAAAGGAATCAAGTTTGAGCTACCTGAGAAAACAATGAAAGAAGCACAGAAGTGGAAGAAGCCCTGGCTGGAGTTTGATATGCTGCGAGAGTATGATACCTCAAAGATAGAGGAAAAAATATGGAGGGAAGTGAGTGAAGAGCTGAGGAAGTAACAGCTTTGAGTTCGGCGTATCAATTGTCAGTTCTCAAGCTTTGTATGCAGGTAAAATACACAGTAAAATGTCAGCAGTTCCTTTCTGAATGTTCAACTATCCAAATAGTTGTTTCTTCTGTCTTTGCCAAGTAGGCAGTGGCCAACTGTGAAAACGCTTAGTGCAGTAGGTTCAGAGGGGGCTGTGGCAGGGAAGCAGACATTCAGCAGCTCAACTGCACAATCTGAGAGTAAGTGCTGCTTAGTAGCCCTGTAAACACTTTTGAAATCACATTTGGTAAAGCACCAGTAATCACCTGACAACAAAGCAGCAATACAAACATTCTGAAACCAGCGTGAAAGAACGAAGCCAGATGAGCTGTTAGTCAGATGAGGTCGTGTGAGCGGGGTAAGGTTCAGCGCCCCGTGCACAGTAGGGTCTCAAGATACTCAGCTGCGATGGGGGTCTGAGCTCCAGTAAAAATTGCCTTCCCCTCTGACAAGTGATGACAAGTGATGTCTGCAGCCACTGGAAGAAGCACCAACAGGTCAAGTATGATAGAATCTATTCCAGTTTCATAGCAACACAGGATAATTTCTTCAGGAGCAACTTTCAACATGAATGAGGAAGCAGGAGAAGAGACAAAGCAAGCAGTGAGATCACAAGCTCGAGCTAATTACTGAGCAGTTACATTTCCTTTGCACTCAGGAAAGTAGGAGTACACAATTGTTTACCACAGCGCTCCCAGTTCCTGAAGATAATGAAGTGCCAGTGGTGGCAGAGTTTTTATCCATGCTTCACATGACATTACTGCCATATGTTCAAGCCTTGAAAATGTTAGAAGTCTTATTAACACAAAAATATCTTTACTCTTCAAAATAATTGCTCTGCTTTTATTTTAAGTCATCTTTTGTCTGTAACACTGATCAATGCTATTTACAGTTAAAATAGTTTACAAAAATATATATTCTGTCATAAAAAATAGAAAAATCGTAGGGAATATAAAAGCCTCCAAGAGTTAAATGTTAGACACATAACATTTCAGAGAAACAGGAACTGATGAGCTTAGAATTTGTGATGCACTGCTGTTTCTACAATAAACCTTTTTATTCTGCAGCAGTAATATTTACTGCACATAGACAAAGTTATACTACATTAGAAATCTGACACGGGTACAATGAAATGAGGTGTCTTACTGGGAAGCCAAAGTAAGACTTGCTTAGAAAGTCAGTTACTAGAAGGTAACTGGAGTTGTTCTTCTGCTTGTCTGATAAATCAGGGTGTGACAACTCCAGGTCCGTGCACCAAGTGCAGTCTGTATGTCAAGCACAAAGCTCCACTACAGACCACACTCTGGAGAAGAACAGACACAGATGTTAAGATGTTCTCCTGTGCAGCTTCTTACCTTCCTGAACACCCGTTTACCATCAGGATGTTCACAGATCAAACTCCTCCCTGCACACAGACCTGCTTTTGTGCCAGGATCAAAAAGCTATGACAAGCTTGCTGAGTGAAAAAGTGAGTTTGGCAGAGTTCTCTCATTAAGTGGGCAATGAGATAGAGTTCAGTGGCTCCGAGTCAGAGTGATTTGGTATGGAGCTGAAAACAGCTTGTGAAGCTGTGTGCACAGCAGCAGCAGTAACGTTACAGGCACCTCCTTATTCCAGTCCTCCTTCCCCAAAGAAGGAAGCACTCAGGCTTTGTCGTTCATTGCAGAACTCCTGCGCTTCACATTGATGACTGCAGGTCCACTAATTAAACATTACCACTTTTTTTAGAGTGAGCACCAGGTTGTTTCAGTAAAAGAACTGCTGTTTCAAAGAAATCCTTATTTTCTGATCACAGATCTCAGATGTTCCAGTTTGTACTCTTCAATGAACTCTTCAGCAATACACAGAGCCTTGACTTTCACCATCAGGAGAATAACTTCTTCGGTTTCATCACTATTAAAAAAAAAAGTTGATATAGCAGCACATTCACACCTGACTTCAAAATCAGTAAAGCTGAAGTCTATTTAAAAGAGAGGCAGAGAATTCTCCCTGGCTGTCACCTGGTGCTTTTAGCTACACTGACCACTAACTGCACCCAACATCCAGAGCCTCAAACTAACCTGAACTAGTACTGTAAAAGCACTCCATTTTACATCATGGATCGCATGTTTTGTATGTAGATGTTGGAAGTACATCACTGAAAGTGTTAAATTGGTGAGACTTGAGGAATTTAAGAATCGTAGAATCATTAAGGTTGAAAAAGACCACAAAGATCATTTAGTCCAGCTGTCAACCCATCAACACCGTGCCCACTGAACCACGTCCCTAAAAGAAATATTAGCATGAAGTATATGAGGCAGTGCTGCATCCCAAAGAAGGCGTGATTTCTTACCTGTGGTTGTTCCTGTGGAGCACACGTGCACACTGAAGCAAATGCTGGCAGAAGTTCAGTAACTCAGGGAGAGTTGAGCCGCTTCCGAGATTGTGGAACCACCTTTGTGGGAAGCACGCAGCCACCTGCTCCCCCAGACAGAAAGTTGGAAGGTTAAAAAAAAAAGACTCAGTAAAACTAAGTCACACCACTTCTGACAGAGAATTCTCCTTCTGGCTAGTTCAGTTATTACTGGTTGTGCTTATTCTTCAAAAAACAGGATCGTCATTATAAGCAGTTATTCCCAAAGCAAGCATTGGCTCATAGGCTTTTAAAATGCTTTTATACACCAAGGTCATAAAAAAAATTAGATGTTAAATAATTATATTTCATCTTCAGACTACATCTGTCCCCATGGAAATGAGACTTCTCACCTTTTTACACTTCTCTATGTTTTCTGGCCCTGGTGGCGTGTTGAAGAGGTTCAGAAGAAGGTAACGGTTCAGCAGCTTGCTGAGTCCCAAATCTCGGAGCACGTCTTCCTCTACAATCCCATCCCAAAGCAGAACATTGGAGAGCAGCTGCAGAGATGAAGACACAGAACAGGCATATTTGGAGGCGGGAGGCGTGTTAAACCTCTTTGTTGAACTTAAAGGATACCGCAGCATCCAATTTCACTACTCAAAAAATAGGATTTATTCTCTCCAAGCTTACTGCCAATTAGCCACTAAAAAGCTACGTATCGTAAATAATATTTTGAAGTGGATTAATTTTACACGTGCTATGAGCTGCACCCTAATACATACACACATCACCTCCCAGGAAATAAGGAGCATGTCACCCTTCCCATTTGCTGACACCCAAGAACAGAAAAGAATCATGCTGTATTTTTTCAGAGAAAAGCCAGTGGTCAAATCTGAAGGTGTACACATGTACAAAGACACCAAGCCCAGCAAGAAGCAGGGATCAACAGCAACTGAGATCCAATTCTAAGTGAACCTTTGAGAGCATCTTGTGACAGAATGAAAACAAAACAAAACAAAACCACCCACTACTGCATCCGCTACATAAGATTACATGCCATCAGCCTCTTAACACAGGTGAGGTTGGTAGCCTTGGTCCATAGCAGCAAAAAGATTCTTTTGTATTTGATCTCAGTATTATTAGTTAGCAAGAGTTGTCTTTAGTTACCCTATCACTGTCAAAATGACTATTTAAAAAGATTTAAGCCCAGCGTAAGAACATCCCTGGTTTCCCCTCAATGCAGAATTTCAAGGTAACTGTTACCCTCGAGGTGTTTCACCCACACACACAGTGCGTGGTCTCAGCTCACCAGTCAGAAAGCAGTCACAAAGCCCATGGCTACTGCGTATCTCTCTGTGTCTGACAGGACACTTCCTTTTGACTCCACCAGCTGCTACGAAAGTCAGACTGTATGATGGCACAAACATCAAAGTCTCATCAGCTGTACTTTTGTTTCAAAATAGCTCCCATCCCACCTCTTGCCCAGCCCCTTATTTGAGCTCTGCCATACCATTTCTGGGCTTGCCTTAGAGGCCATTCCCAATAGAGTCTACAGATGATCACCTGCTTTGAAAGACAGCACAAATAGGGGCTGCACAACAGCAGTCTCAAACACAGATAAGTCACTCTAATATGCTGCTGAACAGACCTAAAGAGTTTAATGCACAACCTGCAGAACTTCTGACACTGGGTTACATAATTCATGACTTCACTCCAGAAAAAAATAGTGGCCAACTGTCAACAGATACCTGAGGTACCCGATACAAGAACATTTAAACCTATTTTACACATCACTCCTAAAGAGAACATTGACAGCAAAGATGGAAAACAAACTCAAAGGAGAGAACTTCAATCCGCAGTGAAGGACCACCGGTCTCTCTTTTACAAACATGCATTATTTGACAACGCGTTTAAATCAGGCAATACACAATCTGAGAAGATGGTCCAAGTTGTCTGCTTTGTTTCTGCTGGGCATCGGAATCAGTATTAAGCTCCCTCTTGTCTGCTCTGCATCTGCCCATGCAAACCCTTACACAACAGCTCACCCTAGGAGTGAATGTGGCAAGTCCTCACCATTCCCCCATTCCCCGGCTTTTCTACAGGGATGTGCAACATGGCAGCAGGGAGCCGACGCAGGGCTGTTACCATGGCCTTGTCATCACACACAGCAGACTTAAGGTACATTTCCTCAAAGACTACCACCTACTTTTAACTGAAATGATTTTCTCAGAAGATCAGTATTGTTTCTTTACCTTCACAGCTGACCAAAACCGTCTTTCTTGGAATTGTGAACACGGTGATGATTTGTCTTCCACAGTGCTGGTCAGAGAAAGAAAAGGTAAAATAAGGGTTTTGTTTGTCCTTAAAATAAGACAAACAGACAATTCATCTCTTAAGCACTGATGAATTACAGTTACGGAATTCTTTCAGCAGTGACAGCCAGAATAAAATCTAAGGAAACAGCTGTTAATTTGAACTCGTGACAGTACCCACAGGAATTGCAATTGGAAACACTCCAGTCTGTGTTCAATGGATTCTGACCAGAACAACACTGCTTGCAACCACACAAACATGCTGCATCAGGTTTAGCAACACTTTTCTCCTAGCTGGATCTTAACCCCACATCTACCAGGCTCTTTCTAGTTATCCTCTCTCTAAGAGCACCATGTTCAAAGAAAGGCAACAAAGCTGGTGAGGGGTGTGGAGCACAATGGGGCCTTATGAGGAGCAGCTGAGGGAGCTGGATTGTTGGTGTGGAGAAGAGGAGGCTCAGGGGAGACCTCATTGCTGTCCATAACAACCTGAAGGGAGGCTGTGGTGAGCTGGGGTCGGCCTCTTCTCTCATGTAACAGTGATAGAACTTGAGGGAATGGCTTCAAGCTGCGCCAGGGGAGGTTTGGGCTGGATGTTAGGAAATACTGCTTATCTGAAAGAGTGGTCAGGCAGTGCAATGGGCTGCACAGGGAGGTGTGGAGTCACCGACCCTGGAGGTGATCAAGGAACGGTTGGATTTTGTGTTGAGGGACAAGGATTAGTGAGATCTATTGGTGGTGGGTGGATGGTTGGACTGGGTGATCCTGTGAGTCTTTTGCAGCCTTGGTGATTCTGTAATCAAGCAATAAGCACCAGCAATATAAACTATTTCAGGAAAGAAAGGAGGAGTCAAGAGTAGAAGGGGGAACAGACCACCAAAAATAACACGAGCCCTCAGCTGCTCTAATATCACAAAACCAGCCTCCAGTTGTACTAGAAGCTAAACTAATTATACTAAAACTAAAATCTTTCCATTTATGAAAGCTTTTAGTTTTAGGAGCAAAAAAGCATGAAGCTGACTGCAGAGTTGCTCTTGTCAGAAAGAGTTCATAAACATTAATGTTTGGTAACTATTCCTATAATGAAACAGTAGAAGGCACATCTGTTCCACTTGTTCATTGATGCCTACAATATATTTCACCTACGCCTGTGGGGAAAAGGCACAGAAAAATAGAATAAAGGCTAAAAAAAGAGGTTAGGCTGCAGCTAGACTTGATGGTCTTTACGGTCTTTTCCAACCTGAGCAGTTCTGTGATTCTGTGACTAAAAATAAAAATTTTTAAAAGTAAAAAAAAATAATTCCCAGAGTCAGCTCACCTTGTAGGATACACAGGGATAAAGACATCCTCCTCTACAGACTTCTTCATCCTCAGGACAACCCCGTGAATCAAATCCTGTTAAAAAGAAAAAAAAGAAAAAAAAAAGAAAAATATTAACATATCCTCACAACATTTGGTCCATTTACAACAATTTTAGGCACTTACTTTGTTAATGTGGAAAAGCAAAATGCTAATTGAGCTGAATGGAAGTGACATTGTATATAATACACACTAAGATTGTTACTACATTAAAGACCTGTGAACGAGTCTCAGCTCTAACCATCTTTTTTTTTGTTTTTAAATAAAATCCTGTTGGATAACAAGATTTTCCAGCTATGTAGTTCTATTAAAAAACCACAACAAAACACCATGGCTACTATGCAAACAGAATTCTACCTCAAGTTGTCTACTTGAAGTCAAGAGCAGTGACTGCAAAAACGTTTGTTATTTCTTTTCATATTAAGGGCCTAAACATCAACTTAGTTTCACCTCCTTTACACTGGATAAACTCCCAGATTTACGTGAGAATGAAAGCAGAACTGGGCTAAGGGCATGCTGCAGTGAAAACTCCCATAAAGTAATTATGACATGATCACCAAGATAAGTGCAGTAGCCTTTCTCCTAGCCGTTAACTCATATTTTGGGATTTTTTTTCCCATTTTTGCTGGGAGAATAAAGAATTCCTTGTTTTTCTCGTCCATGTCTATGTTAGGGCTAAAAACAAACCAAGCCGACCACTGGAATACTACTAGTATTTAAATATCAAATTTTAAAGGATACTTCCATGCTAGTGCAAAATTTCTGACAATTTTTATTGTGATAAAGCAAGATGATTCAGTCTTCAAATAGATTTCTGACAGGGACAGGCACGCTTTTTCTAGGCACACAGACTGACACCTGTCTCAGGGGTGCCCCGTGCCCCATAATCTTCAGAATACTGAGATGGTAACTGTTCAGTTTTCTGACTATACAGAAATTAATCAGAACTGAACAACCTCAGGTCATCCTAGGGGCACACAGAAGCAAGCACAGAAAGTGCACGCACAGGATCAAGAACTTCCTTCCCCATTACCACAACAGCCTTTACCTGTCTTGCTTGGCTGCGCTCACTTCTGGACAGGACTTGTTGTTCAAGCACGTTATGGCAAAGCTGTATAAGGCTCTCAGTCTGTGAAGTTGATAAAGGATCCCACACACTCTTTACAAATGCTGAAAAATAGGAATTTATTTCATTCATGATATCCAACTGGCTATATGCTCTACTTTCAAGGAAGTAAACACTCAAAAAGCTAAACCTTTCATTCACAGTAACCTCAACAAGTAATTGTAAAATTATGTTGAGTTACATTTACCACTTATTTAAGGTTTGATTAGCTAGCTGCAGTAAACATTCTCAAGACAACCTTACCGTACCTGTAATTTTTGGCAGAATAGTTTTTTCAATCACTCTGGGCAAAACTTCTTCATCAGGATCTCTTTTTGATTCAGATGACTTTTTGGCATCACTGAATTCTTTCACAGCTCTGAACCAGGGCATCTCTTCCAAGTCTGTAGAATTCTGCTGAAAGATCATTCCTATTAGTTGCTCAGCTGGTCAGGATTGAGAGAAAAACTCCATGCAAAAATACATCCAATGATACCAAAAGATCCTCATTTAACAATTTTACATGGATTCTAATCACCGAATGGACCAAAGCAGCAAGCTAAAACTGAATTTAAAGCCAGATTTCAGAAGGTAGGGTTGTCAAAACGTCAGCAAACAACACCGCATTAATAAAGATGCAAGCGACTCGTATACAAGCAACCTGACAAGGGGAAAAGATGTCCTCCTTCTAGTTAAAACACTTATCAAGCTCTGGAATGCCTCTAGAATCCACAGCAAAGTTTCTGCACAGAATTCTTCCCTGCAAATGTCCTGTCATACTTTGAGCTGCCAGAAATACCCACAGATCTTTGTTAGCTGACAAGATGAGTGCATCAGGCAAGTAAACAAGACGCAAAGACGGCACAGACCAGAAACACGGCAGAGCATTGCCCACACAGGAGCCTACATGATATAATAATGCACAAACACACACAAAACTTTTCACAAAAATAAAGTCTGGTGATACACCTACCTCAAGAGGACTCCAATTTATTAACTGAACTCTGATTAATGGATTTAAAAGCTTAGGCAGGCAAAAACTGATGTAAGCATCGCAGTAAGAGTCGGGAAACTTCTCTTTCCACTCCTGGAATTTCAACAGGATTTTTCTGATGTCATAAAAATCTTCATGGACATCTTCAAAGATTTTCCTACTCTCCTCTAAAATGTTATCTATGGATAATATTCAATAGGAATAAAAAGAAACAACCACAGAATTAATTGAGGCATAAGATGAACAGTTTATGCATCTACAGAGCGTAAGAGATATCTTTATGATAACAGCATTTGTGTTTCCTCTTTCACACCTCTTACACCAAAATGAGTTTTAAAACCAGCACTCTGGCAAAGCCTTTTTCAGAAAAAAAATAATACAGAAGACAACAAAAAGACTTCTGCAATTCTGAACAACTGCCTGGATTGAAATTACAAAGGAGAAATTACAGGGAGATTACAAAGTAGCCAAGGTATGCAGGGAGGAAGTTAGGAGGGCGAAAGCCCAACTTGAGCTCAGGTTGTCCTCTGCAGTAAAAGACAATAAAAAATCCTTTTATAAATATATCAATGGCAAAAGAAGAATCAAAGATAATTCTCATCCTATACTGGATGCAGCAGGGAATGTGGTCACTGAGGACAAGGAGAGGGCTGAGATCCTCAATGCCTTCTTTACATCTGCCTTTAATAGTCAGATCAGTCATCCTCTGGGCTCTTCATGCCCCGATCTGGAAGTCTGGGACGCAGCTCAGAATTTGCCCCCAGCAATTCCAGTGGAGACAGTCAGAGAGCTCCTCCTCTGTCTGCACTGTCACAAGTCCATGGGACCGGATGGGCTGCACCCTCAGGTGCAGAGGGAGCCGGCGGGGCTGATTGCTGAGCCCCTCTCGGCCACCTATCAATGCTCCTGGTTAACTGGTGAGGTTCCAGAGGATTGGAGGCTTGCTGATGTGACTCCCATCTTCAAGAAGGGCCGCAGGGAGGATCCGGGGAACTATAGGCCTGTCAGCCTGACCTCAGTGCCAGGGAAGGTTATGAAGCAAATCATCTCGGACGAGATTGCATGGCATGTATGCAGTGTCCAGGGGATCAGACCCAGCCAGCACGGGTTTGTGAAAGGCAGGTCGTGCTTGACCAACCTCATCTCTTTCTACGACTGGGTGACCAGTCTGATAGATGAGGGAAGGGCTGTTGATGCAGTCTTCCTAGACTTCAGCACAGCCTTTGACACGGTCCCTCACAGCCTTCTTCTGGGGAAACGGCTGCCCGTGGTCTGAACAGATAGACACTGCTTTGGGTAAGGAACTGGCTACAGGGCCGTGCCCAGCGGGTCGTGGTGAATGGAGTGAAGTCCAGCTGGCGACCCGCTTCAAGTGGTGCCCCCCAGGGGTCGGTACTGGGGCCATCTTGTTTAATATCTTTATTGATGACCTAGATGAAGGCATTGAGTGTATCCTCAGCAAGTTTGCAGATGACACCAAGCTGGGAGGTGGTGTTGATCTGCCTGAGGGCAGGGAGGCCCTGCAGAGGGATTTAGACAGGCTGGATAGCTGGGCTGAAGTGAATGGGATGAGGTTCAACAAGGCCAAATGTCAGGTTCTGCACTTTGGGCACAACAACCCCATGCAGTGTTACAGGCTTGGGGGTGAGTGGCTGGATGAGTGTGAAGAGGAAAGGGACCGGGGGGTGTTGGTTGATGCTCGGCTGAACATGAGCCCACAGTGTGCCCAGGTGGCCAAGAGGGACAACGGCATCCTGGCCTGCATTAGAAATGGCCAGCAGAGCAGGGAGGTGAGCATCCCCTGTACTCAGCACTGGTGAGGCCGCACCTCGAGTGCTGGGTTCAGTTTTGGGCTCCTCACTACAGGAAAGATGTTGAAGCCCTGGAGCGTGTGCAGAGAAGGGCAACGAAATGGTGAGGGGTCTGGAGCACAGGGCTGATGAGGAGCGGCTGAGGGAGCTGGGATTGTTCAGTGTGGAGAAGAGGAGCTCAGGGGAGACCTGACTGCACTCTGCAACCTCCTGAAGGGAGGCTGTGGTGAAGAGGGATTTGGCCTCTTCTCCCAGGCAACGAGCAGCACACGGGGCAATGGCTGCAAGTTGTACCAGAGGAGGTTTAGGTTGGACATAAGGAAGAACTGTCTCTCTCAGAGGGTGGTCAGGCATGCAATGGCTGCACAGGGAGGTGGTGGAGTCGCCATCCCTGGCAGTGCTCAAGAGGCGCCTGGATGACGTGCTGCGTGATGTGGTTTAGTGCTGGTGGTGGCAATGGTGATGAGGAAACAGTTGGACTGGATGATCTTATGGGTCATTTCCAACCTTGTGATTCTGTGATTCTATGAAATATCCATTACATTTCATATTTTGTATGTCTCTTAAAATCTCAGACAAGAAAATCCTTCTGTTATTCAGAAAATATGCATCATGCCTCTCCCAGCTCCTCATGACCTGCTCAATCAGGGCAGTTAAAATCTCAATTTAAAATACATTCCAACTTTGGGAAAAAAAAAACAAAAAACCTATCACACTACAGAAGCCTACAATCATGTCTGTTCTTCCTAAGTCACTGGTCAGAATCATTTACATGCATTAATTCTATGCTGTAGAATTATGCTGGGGGTTGGTCTCGATGATCTCTAGAGGTCCCTTCCAACCCCTACAATTCTGTGATTCTGTGAAAATAAAGGGTATACCATTCAAAAGGAGTATTTCTTCACTCTCCTTTGAAAATCCTTCTAAACATCGGAGGAATTTTGTTCTCATCTACTGACCAACCTCTGCTCTTCTGGAATTCAGCCAACTCCGTCACAGTCAGTTCATCATCACTCGACATGCCTTCGTGGTGCCCAGCTGTCTGTGAACGTTCTCTCAGCTGCCGTCTGCAAGCCCTGCATTTTGTAGTGAACACAGGTGAGTTATTCCCCGCATACATACACAAAAGGAAGCTCAATGATAGACCAAAAACACGTGGTGAGAGCAACAGCCTAAGGAAACGCAATCAGGAAGCAGAATTACAGCCTGTGTCTCTGTGGTGCGTAACAGTAAGGTTCCCACCTGAAACACCAAACACTGACGTGGAACTTCTTACTATCCCCAATAGAGGTAGTGTACAAGAAACCACTGCTCTCAGCAGTCTTAGTTCTACACTGCTTATGCAACAACTTGCACAGAAACTGTGACTGCCTCCAAGGGGCTCAAAAATGTCAGTCCTGGCACCACGTCCCATAAGAGCCTGCAAAATCAACAGTTTGCATCTGACATGAGAAAATTATATTTACACATATTTGCATAGCATAGATCTTGTCTGTAGTTATTGACATCGCTTAACATTAAAGGTTAACAGTTTGCTTCAAGCAAAGTTTTACTACATTATTTTTCAACCATTAAAACTCTTAAGTCCTTAACTGTATGAGTCAACTGTATGAGTCAAGAGTCAAGGCACCAATGCAACTGAAGGTTTCAGAGCTCCCATTCACTTCAGGTCAGCAGGAGACTGAACACAGACATTCAAAATGTACCATGTGGCCTCCACTGATAACAGAGCACAGGTTAGATGTTCCTCTGCACCCACTGCCACCCCAGCAGCAGCAATACCACCTGCCTATTTTTGTTATCTATGCAACAATCACAAGAATGTATTTCTACATACAGTCACAATATTATTTATTCTAGCAGCAGGGAAGATCTACTCTCAGTTTCACGAACAGTCTCACTTCAACTTACTTTACATTAATAATACCTATTAACATTCAGATTTCAATCAGCATGAAGAGAACCCCATTAACAAACAGATGCTTTCCAAATACCCTGAGCTTTTGCATATGTGTGTAACCCCACAGATTCACCTTCATCCCTGTGTGACAGGAAGCAAATATACATTTATTACAGATAATGCTATCATACATAATAGCTACCTTCGATGCTCACGCATTTTCAGAAGCTTCATCCTTTCATCACTTTCCAGTCCATCAGTAGTTGGTTTGCCATTCCCAGCTACCAGAAGACAGGAACAAGACAAAGAGGTGAATGCAGAACACTGATTCTGCTTCTGCTCTTCACGTGGAAACTAACCAAAGTAAATAAAACCTCCTGATGAAAAATTCTAGCAGTGCCCAGTGTAAAGTACAGTCAATATTATAAATGAACTGTAGGACAGATGTGGCTGCTCCCTCGTGCAGGGGGACTGACCAGGTCACAGCCAGAGCCAGCAAGGTGAGCACCAGAGTGAGCAGAGGGAGGGACCCCAGATTCACCCTTCCTTTCTCCCCTTGTGATGCTTCCAGCTGCACCTCCCAGAGCACACCCACATGCACAGTCTGCATGGTTTGCACCCCCTCAGCTGCACACAAGTTAGAACCAGAAAGGGCTACATCCCTGAGCTCACTCTTTTTGAGCTGTTGCCAGTTATCAGTCAATTCTTTTTTGCCCTCCTGTTCTATAGTGCCTGCAGTGTTCTACAGTATCCCAAATAAAGGCTCCACGTCACCTCTGTTTGCTTTACACCTTGTAACAAGCGATGAAATACCAGCTCACTGCTTCCCAGTCTTGCATGGAAGCGAACAGTGCCTACCACAGCCTGTTCCTAACAGTGTAAAAGGCAAGTGTGGGGACTGAGCCTGCATGTTGAGCACGAAGCCACGCAGTGAACCGAGCAGCTATCGGGGCTTAGTTCCAACTTCCAAAATTTACATGTTACTGCATTTAGATTTCAACAGTCAGCTCCCCACTGTCTCCTGTTATTTGTGTCCCCTTGTATGTCCCAAATCACCCCTGCTGAGTCCTTGGTTCAACAGAGAAGCAGAAACTAGAAGCAAGTTCTGCTTGGGCTGTTCATCTGTACCAGTGTCCGCTGGCTTAAGCGCACGCAAGATACAAAACCAGCTGTCCCTACTGACATACTGCAGTATAAGAAAATACAGCATTTCCATTAAGTACAACTTATATAAATATAAAAAAATAATATAAAATATAGGGAACACAATTAAAAGCTCTCTTAAACGTTCAAGTACAGATTCACTTCTGATAAGCTGAAAATAGTATTTAACTGGCTGCTACTAAAACAAGTACTCTTCTCCTCTTCACACCTGCTCGCAGACTCTGCACTACAAAATTATACACGCAGACAGTTTTCACTCGCCAGCACTTTATCCTGTGTGTTCAGAAATATGAATCCACCAGTGGCAGTTACAAGAAACTGGTGCACCTGGTCTCTGACTGCTCACTGCAGCTCCTAGCACACTGTTTTTTGCTTTCCTAAACAGGTTTAAAGTGGATTTTCTGCTTGTTTCCTTAAACAGCAACAGGTGAAGACTCACTTTACATACAAACAACACATCAGCGTGGAAAGAAAACACAAGATGTGAAAATTGCAATTTTCCTTACAGTAACAAGACAGACTCTGTTTTGAATAAAATCTTATTTTATTCAAAAACAGGTTGAACATCCCCCTGCTGTGTGTAGGTCACCAACCAGCAGACCAGGCTGCCCAGAGCAACATCCAGCCTGGCCTTGAATGCCTGCAGGGATGGGGCAGCCACAACAGTCCTTCACCTTTTATTTCTTTACGCCCTTCACATAACTGCCCAGTCTGAAATCTGCATTTTAAGCACACACACAGCTTTAAGAACACCAATGTCAAGCGATGTCACCAGGTAAATGCACTGCTTTTTCACATATTCATATAGAACAGGATCCTCCATCTGCTTAACAGCTACTAGAAAACTGACTCCATTTTTCTTTTCAAGTGCTGAAAGGCAACCACTGAGATGAGTAATTCAAAACTGAGTAAGCATTTGGTCATGCTGTACTCACTATTATACCACAAAAAATGATACTATGAGTCTTACTTAGGTGAGGGGTTCAACTAATGTACTGGGCACAATATGCCTACTGACAACAGAGAGGGAGCAAAGATTAAACATGAACACGAAATATAATCCAAAAATTAACTGTGCTTCTACTTCAAGAAAGAGATTTCAATGAGAAAGTAACTTGTAACTTCACACTAACCTGCCAGATGCTGCATATAAGCAGATTCCATTTTCAGGTCATCTTGCCTTCGTTTCAGTGCTGATGTGGCTCGTTGCTGAAGAAGTGCATGTACAGCAGATTCTAGCTCATCTATGTATTTCAGCTGAAATATGGTTAACAGTAATCAGGTTTGAAAAAGCAAAATGAAAGAACAATTTCCACTGGCTTTCAAGCATGACGGTGAAGTGAGAACAAGAGTATTACAGACTGAAAAGCAAGAACCTGCTCATTGGAATTTTTCAGGTTGCTTGAGACTGAAAACTACCAACGGAATAGGCCAACTGCCTACTACAAGACTACCTCAGACCCTGTCAGAAAGTGTTTAACAGGACACCATTGGTGTAATCAGTCTGCTTACAATCTGCCTTTGTACACCCAGCCACCAGAGGAAGCACATCAACCAACACTTGTACACTTCAAAGTTACACAGAAAAGACTCTCAGGCTGCAACACAACTGACATTAATTAGATTTGACAGCACTTTCTGTAAGACTACTTTCATCGAGGTCAAACTTTGAGCAGCATCTTCCAACTTCAACCTTTTTTTAAAAAAAATACTTAAGGTTTGCAGTTTAGGAAAGCAATACAGCAGACAATGTAGACAAATCCTCACGCAACTCACCTAAAACCAACTGAAACCTAATGCAAAATCCTTATTACTAGTCACATGTTGCAAAGCAAATACATTTTGAGATCCCAAAACTGAATGTACGTCCCACTTCTCATACAGCTTTAGGACACTCCAGTTACTACACCTGAAGAAAACTTCCATTAACATTTTGTTCTTATTCATCGCAATCCAGTGAGCCCCCAGCCCAAGTCAGTGTACATATACTAACTTAATCATTTTAGGTTACTGTGAGGGGTGGTCTGTTTCTCCTTTTGTTTCCTGTTACACTCAAGTTTCTGATAGAACTGATCTATAACTGGTCATCTCTCATCATCATTTCCAAACAAGAAATCTCATTCTTACATTGACAGAATGCAACTTTATCATCTCAAAGAAATGGGTGGCAAGGAGCGGAAGGGAAGGAAAACATACATACTTTTTCATTGAAACAGTTTACTAAGTTTTCTACATATGTTTTCATGCCCCTGTAGAATTTGTAATTCATAGCAGCATCTGAAGACTTCTCTAATTCCTGGACGGTTATCTTTGAACTTTCAATGTCCTCCACATATTTTCCATACTCCCTCTGGTGAGCACGGTGCACATCCTGCAATGATGCTATCCTAAAAAAGGAAAACACTCAGACCATTAAAACCATGACAGGTTAACAGATAATGCAGTTCTGAACACTTTCCAATTACAACAAAGTACAAAATCTTTGCCTGATAATAGCACCTGCATTTGAGCAAAGAACTGCAAGACTCACCCACAACATCTGCACAAGCACTGCGAGTGGACGAGATTCGTGCTTTGGAAACATCAAACATCACTCACGCAGTGGCAGTTCTGAAGGACCCCACTGACATTGGACCCATTTTCCTCAACATGCTCCCAAGTAACGTAATAAGGCAAGCCTAGCGATGCCACACTGAGCAGATACTCCCCCAGCTGATGTGGGTAGAACCACAGCATACATCAGTATGTCCACACCAACCTCATTCAAGCTGCAGGGACAGAAGCACATAAGCACTTACCTGGTGCTCATTACCCAGCACAGACCATCTGAAACTTCCTGTTACTAACCTTATAACCCAAAAACCTATGCTTACAGCTCCCATTGGTTATTAAATGAAATACCTCAGAAAAGCTGACATTTATTACAAATCTTTTTTCTTTCCTTAAAAAAATAAAATCTCCTTTGGTATCTCATATATGTTTGCTCTGTTTGAGAAAGATCTTAACAGAACCCAGAAGCAGACTTTAATTTAATTTGCTTCTCTGAAGGAGAGAACAGATTTCAATGAAAACAATTCAATTAAGATGTTCTCCATTGCACCAGAAGTTAAAAAAAGAAAAGAAAAAAACCAGCCTTTAGAAGTTATTTCAGCATTTAAGACGTTAAATACATCTCTATGGCATAATATTACCAAGCTATTACTAGCAGACACGTCCTCCCTCCCCTTCTTGTTACTTTCCAAATAGGTTTTGCACTCCTGATAGCCTTTCACATTTGATTGCACTTGAACTGCCACTTCATTTCATTCATTGCTTTCATCTGATCAAGGCCAAAAAAAGCATACAAGTCCACAGACATATTTAGTCCACTGCAGTTGCAATTCTTTGAACACAAAGAAGCCAGCAGCAGTCCGTACAAAAAGTATACGTGCACAGAGATTGACACAAGTTAACAGCACACGTTTGTGTTTCAGCTGCATGATGTCACTCTCTGAGCGGATCAGAGCAGCTGCTTCTGGCTGCATCAGCACTGAGAGGTGCCGGCTCTCTCGGCAGCTTCGGACGCCTGACCCCATCGGTCCTTCTCACACACTACCCTGAAGTCCCCAGCTCCACCCAGCACATTCCAGCTGCCCCCTGCCCTGTCTAAACAGGCTAAAGAGAACCGCGACAGAAGGACTGACGGCCCTACCTGCCCCGAGTGAAGTCCTCCTACCTGGACAAAGCATTGTGCCTGCACTCCTTTAAGAACTACTAGCATGTAGCATAAAGCAGCAGACTTTTACAAGTGATAAAATGCTTGACAAGTACAAACACACCCCTACAACAAAGCACTGCCAGATGAAGTTAAAATCTGTAATGCTGAATATTACAATAAGCACAATACACAGCTAACCCCCAAACCCTTCAATACTCACAAGAAAGGATAAGTCTCAGAAATTAACACTAAAAGCAGTATTTACCTTTCAGTCAGTTGCTTTTTTATAGTTTCCAAGTTCACAGGTGGTAAGGAAACACAGGGACCACACATAGGTTTAGCTGGTTGAGATTTACACAGGGAAGCATCACTGTAAGTTTCCTAAGAGAATTGCAACACTTTCAATACATAGTTTATGGAAATTAAATATAAGTTGATACACAACTGATGTAAGATTTGCCTCTGCAGCTTTAGAGATCAACAAAACATACCACTTGAAGGCATAAAGCATATAATAAAAAGATGTATATTTCAATGATCAAATTGGGTGATTTCTGTACAACACAAAAACTGTATATATAAAAAGCTGTGTATTTATAGTGTACCAATGCACACACCATGCACATCCATCAGTACAAAACAATCTGTAACTCAGGGAGTGCAGCTCTCCTCTTAGACATCAATAGCTTCCAGCAGTATATAATGGTTCGATACCGATGGCTGAAACCACACTAGTACTACTATCTTAAATATAAAAAGTAGAAATAAACCACAGCCAAGATAAAGATAGAACTTCCATTCTGACCACTTTGCTTGATGTAATAACTAAGAAAAAAAAAACACAAAACACATCCAACCATTTTAATATATAAATTAAATGACATTCTGCATTCTAAGGAGTTGGTAAGGTAAAACCTAGCCCAAATACAATGACTTGAAGTAATCAAGTCCATGACCAAGGTCTGTTACTAAGAACTTCTGCAATCTTCTGAACAGCAAAAATAAAGGGGTTTCCAGAAACAAAAGGAGTACAAGGACCTAAGAACCCAGTTATACTGGATTTGAAATTCAGCAGCAATCTTCCCAATCCTCTAACCATTTCCATTTGGCATGCAGTAATTTCTACACCTTTCCCTTCTGACATACGAACTGGTAACTCAGGTTTTCGTAGTCTGATACAGAAGATTCAAACCAAAAGCAAAACTTCCAGCTCATCAGAAAAAACATTCTTGCCAATTAGTTAACAGAAAAAAAAATCTCTCTCTCTTGCCTGTAAGCAAATAACAAATTTCAACAGTTAGGAGAGCACATATATCACCTGAGGGAGTTTGAGGGCTTTCTTAATTTGCTGTTCTTCCCACTTTGTTTCTGCTTCATCTTCACTTGATTCATCACTCACAGGCACTAGAAGTTAAATCAATCATTAGCACACATCATTATGCCCTTTACCTATTTCCCTACTCCTTACCCAACCTCCTCCTTCAAAAACAATAATGCTTCCCACAGCCATTACAAGTTTTAGAAACAAATGACAGCAGATGAAAAGCCTGCACACAAAGACCATTTTCACATTGGAAGATTTGGAAATGGGAACTGGATTTTGCAGAATCCATGTTCATTTACCCAACAGTTTCCCAAATTGCTGCAGTACCAGAAGAACAAAGATCAAATGTATCAAAACAAACCTGCTTATCGTATGAGACTTTGAATACAGTTAGACTGCAACGTGGGGACCTCATACACAGAAAATGCTTCAGTGTTCTAAGATGCACAATCTACTACAGACAGAAGTTTCTCCATAGCATTTACGGCAACAATAGAATCAGATCATATCTACACATTACTTACAACCATTATCCAAATAAGAAAGCAACTGGTCTACAAGCCTGGCAAACCAGTGCCTTGTGAGTGAAACTACAAACAGCAAGATGAGTTAAGAAGCAACAGAAAAGCCACATACACTTCGCATGCAGTAAGTTTGCTTACTTCCAAATGGCTGGGTTACTTTGGTTTGTTGTTTTTTTGTTTGTTTGTTTTTACCCCTTTTCAATAACAGTCGTAATGTCAGTGCATGGAAAGCAGGATAACATCCCATACAAACCCCAAAGACCAAGCTTTATGGTCTTCTGTCAAGATCAAGAGCAAAACTTTGCACTGCACTCTTTAGTGGGCGAGGCTCATGTTCTTACAGACATCAGTAGAAGAAAGACACGGCCTCTGGGAGAAAAGGCACAAACTCACCCATGTGTTCAGCCATCCTTTGCCTAAGCGTTCTCATTTTCGGAACAAAGCGGAGATCATTCATATCAGACTCATCCTCTGAATCACTGCTTCCTCTCCTCCAAGAAGGCTGACGGTCATCAGAAACATCCAAGGGGAGATAATCTGCTGGCCTGGCCAGGGGACGCCTCCCCCAAGCAGCCGCCACGCAGCCTGCATGCAAGAGGAACAAAACCTCACCAAAGACGGAAAGCAGCGCTCTGTCACTGCGAGCGTCAACAAGCACCACAACACAGGCTCACTGCACAATCCTGAGTTGAAAACAATATTTTTCTTAGAAGCTTACCATACTGAATATAAACAAATGGAAAGAGATCCTTAAAAAACAGCTCTTAACCTGAAAACAAGCCTCAGACTTTTTTCTTTCAAATAGATCAGCATCCTGTCATTTTTCCAGCTCTTTAAAAGATCAAGACTACGACACCAATTAACAAAGGAATTCAAACTTCACTAATAAAACAGTGAAGTTAATTTTTATCTCAAAGTTAATTATGAACCATTAAATAATTTTTTGCTGCTTTTGTATTTCTTCCAGTATCAACGGTCATAATTTCTAATCTACTTCCTGAAGCAAACACAGAATTATGACAAACACCTGCAACCAAAAACACCACGCAACTGCCACTATTCTTTCAAGACAGCCCTGGCTCAGCATAAACAACTTTAAAATGTCCTAAAAATGCTTAAAAATGTCCATGAAACTGACCTGGTGATGAATCCTTCCTCCTCTGAGATGGGTTGGATTCATTTTCAGAGTCTGTGCTATTGTAGTCCTCACTTAGTGAAGAATAACTCTCTTCCTTTACCTCTTGAGCACCTTTAGCGTTGCCAGTCCCAGGCTCCAACTGAGGTATTTCTGTTTTAAGAGAAAAAAAATACGACCACAGATGTATGTACAAAAGCTGCATAAGAGCTCCCAGATGCCATCAGATCTGCACCCTGATAGGTCACAGCTTTGCTTTTTGAAAGGTTTGAAAGACGCGATGCTGACGCACACATTTATCCCAGTCCCACCACCTCTGATTTACTGCAGAGGTTTTGCACACCCAGATCTTCTCAAGAAGAATCTCCACGCTTTGATCCTGTTTTACCCACATTCATATTAAAACCCCAAGATCAAATAACAGACAGAAGACACCTAACAGCAGTATTTGCACAATACTCTGAAGCATTTCATGATGTTCTTGCAGAATTAATGCTAACTTTTTTTTTTTTAAACTTAAAAAGGACTTACTTTTGCTCTCATCAACTTCGCTCCCTGTGGACAGCAGGCTTTTCTTCTTTTGAATTCTGAACGTCACTTCATTGAAGGATGGCTTTTTGATTTTAAAAACTCCCTCATCACCTGGACAGACAGAATGGTTCTGAGTAACACACTAAAAAAGCCAGCAGCATACGGGCACGTAAGTGTAAAGCACACAATCCTGACACACGCACTCAGCACACATTTTGAGCCTTCAGCTGCACTACATCTCCTAATTCCACGGCCCTGTCACTCGAGATCCAGCACTACTGAATTTACATCCGGCACGGCTTCTCAGTACGGCAGGGGAGGTGTAACGTACCGACACAGGGCCCCCCCCCAAGCTGCCCAGACCTGCTATCTGCCCACTAATTTTGTCGTTTGCACGCACTCACCCGCCGCCCCGGGGCTAATTAGCCCCCCCCCTTCCCCCCCCCCAATCGCCCACCTCCCCGCTCCTCCTCGTCGCTCCCGAAGCTCAGCACCGCCCCAGCTCCCCGCGCCGGCTCCGCCGAGGACAGCGGTCGCTCTGCGGCGGTTCGGGCGCCCTCAGGGAACGAGGCGGCGCCACCGCGGTCCCCGTCGCTTTCCCCGGACTCCGCTTCCTCGTCGGGGTCGCGGTCCGGCGGTAGGGCGGAGGTCGACCCCCGCTCGCCGTCGCTACCGCAGCTGCTGCCGCTGGAAGCCGCGCGCCGCCGGCCGCGGAAGTTGCGCGGGGCCCGGCGGAACATTTCCCGGTCCCCCCGCGCGCAGCCTTCGCACAGCGCGTGCGCGATGACGCAAAGCCCCGCCTTGTCCAACCGCGGGGGAGGGGGCGGTGCGTGCGGCAGTGCCGACCAATGAGGGCGAAGGGGCGTGGCTGCGGAGTAACGACGGAGGGGCAGGAGGCGGGAGTGGGGAGGCTGTGCTGCCTTGTCTATTAGAAAGGTCACCAGGTGCCTTTGAGGACAGGCTGGAATCAAAATATGTGGACCATCAGAGCTCGTAGACCCAAATTGCCTACAGGTCATTACTCTTTTTTTAATATTTTTTTTCTTCTTTATGCCTGTATGGGAACTGTGAGGACACGGCCTGAACCGGTGATGGAGCAGCTGGTGAGCACAGGTGGAAGCAATGCACCTGTGACACCAGATGGGGCTGAGCCTGGCTCCACCCCTCCCTGACCTCATTTAAGGGCTGGCAGCCAGAAGGGAAGCATCTCTGTCTACATGGAGACTGCCTTCTTTGGGCTGAATGATTCCTTTTGTGCTATGGAATTGTGATCTCTGCTCTTCCTGGGCAGTATGTGACTGGTTTAAAGAAGTTGTATCTTCTACGGATTGGTGTGCATTTCTTCTTTCCCTACTACTGCCTTGTTCTTGGAACGCTTTGATCAGCTCTTAGGTAGTGCTAGTATGCTGACCATGTGTTGCAGCTCTGGAAATGCCTTTTTCCATAAAGGGTTTCTGCATACTTGAATTTAAAAAAAAAAACAACAAAAAAACAAACAAACAAAAAAAAACCAGACAACTGTACAAACAAGATCTCATTTCCTTTTAGTTGAGCCTCTGTTCTCTGTTTCACAGGTCTCACTTCATGATCTCCGTCATGGGTGGGGTGTCTGGGAACAGCTGAGTCACGGCCTGAACCTCTGATTGACCACCTGAGGGGAGCACTGAGTCAGCCAGAGGAGCACAGGGGAAGGCAATGCAGCTGTGCTGAAGGAAGGGGTGGAGCCTGGCTGCACCTCTCCTACAGCTGTTTAAGAGCTGGCTGCCAGTGGGGAAGGATCTCTGCTGGAGATCCCTCCTTCTGGTGTTTTGTGGTGAGCCCAGCATAAGGGTGAGCCTTCCATTTATTCTCTTTTGTTATCATAATCTACTTCGCCTAACTCTCTTGTTTATTTTGTGATTGTAACATCTTAATTTCCACTGATTATACAGGTGGGGCTTTAAACTTAAAGTATTCCTGATTGCTGCAGGAAGCAGAGGAGGGACCTTATCCCCATTGTAGGAATGAAAAGGATAAGGTATTCCCACCACCGTGCCCCTCTGAGCTGACTGGGGTGGTCGGATGGGCAGCAGCCCATTGCTGACCACACATAGGGCTTTGCTGGCATAGTAGGACATGTCAGCATACGTCGGCTGTGGTAGCACTTGCGGCAGCGGATGGTGGAAGAACTCCTGGTCACAGCACAGGGCATACAGGATGGCAGCGCCCGGCACGGAAACAACAGTCAGCTACAGGCAGATGAGGAGGAGGCAGATGGTCCTGTGGGGCAGAAGAGGGCTGGGAATGAGGCAGGCCAGATGCGTCCCTACCTCACAGCAGCACAGTCCCACACAGTGCCAGAGGGGCCTTTTGGGAGCCCTGCTGGCTGCTGTGAGGGGCCAGGCCATCAGCCCACTGCCAGGATTCTGGCAGCTGGCCACAGGGCAGGGAGGGGACACTTGTGTCCAGAAGGCAAGCCCATGTCTCCTCACCTGCTGCTCCTCCTCCTGTTGGTGAACACAGGGCAGGGATGCAGATCAGGCCCTGCTACACAGCTGGAGCTTGTGCTGCTGTGCTCTTGCTCTCCCACACATCTGCAGTGCTGCAGGGAGCCCCGTCCCCAGGGAGACCCCATCAGATGGGTGGGGGTGTGGTGGGCTCTGCCCCTTACCAGTTGGGCCTCCACCATGCTGGGCAACACAGCGCCATGCTGCTCAGCTGCCTCCAGCTCTGCCTGGTGCTGCTGCCTGCAGGGAACAGGGCCTGGCTGGGGGGTGCTGGCCTCCATCACCATGAGGACTCCCCAGCAGTGTGTGCCCACCCCAGGGCTGGAACTCGTGGCTACTGCAGTGAAAGAGAATAAGAAATCCTTTTATGAATACATCAATGGTAAGAGAAGAACCAAGGAGAATTTGTATCCTTTACTTGATGCAGCAGGGAGTGTGACCACTGAGGATAGGAGAAGGCTGAGGTCCTCAGTGCCTTCTTTACATCTGCATTTAATAGACAGATCAGTTATCCCTGGGGCATGTTATGCCCTGATATGGAAGTCTGGTTCGCTATGCAGAATATACCCTGGTGATTCAGGTGGCAACAGTTAGAGAGCTCCTTCTCATCTGGACTGTCACAAGTTCATGGGACTGGAGGGGCTCCATCTCAGGGTGCTGAGGGAGCTGGTGGGGGTGACTGCTGAGCCCCTCACTGCCATCTACCAGCGCTCCTGATTAACTGGTGAGCTCCCAGAGGATTGGAGGCTTGCCGATGTGACTCTCATCTACAAGAAGGGCTGTAAGGTGGATCTGGGGAACTATAGGCCAGTCAGCCTGACCTCAGTACCAGAGAAAGTTATGGAGCAAATCATCTTGGGTGGGATCACATGGTACGTGCGTGGTGTACAGGGGATCAGGCCCAGCCAGCAGGAGTTCACGAGAGGCAGGTTGTGCCTGACCAACTTCATCTCCTTCTATGACTGGGTGACCAGACTGGTAGATGAGGGTAAGGCTGTTGATGCAGTCTACCTAGACTTCAGCACAGCCTTTGACACTGGTCTCTCACAGTGTTCTGGCGAAACTGGCTGCCCGTAGACTGGACAGATATATACTTTTTTCGATAAGGAACTGGCTATAGGGCTGTGCCCAATAGGTAGTGGTTAGTGGAACTAAGTCCAGCTGGTGACCCATTAAGAGTGGTGTCCCCCATGGGTCGGGACTGGGGCCGATCTTGTTTAATATCTTTATTGATGTTATAATGAGGGCATAGAGTACACCTCAGTAAGTGTGCAGATGACACCAAGTTCAGAGCTGATGTCAATCTCCCTGAGGGTAGGGAGGCCATACAGAGGGATCTAAATATGCTTGGATCACTGAAGTGAATGGGATAAGATTCAACAAGGCTGAGTGCTGGGTCCTGAGGTTGTAATGAAGAGGGCTTTGGCTCCTTCTCCCAGGGCAAAAAACAGGACCTGAGGAAATGGCTGGAAGTTGTACCAGAAGTTTAGGTTACATATAAGGAAGAACTTTTCCTCTCAGACAGCAGTCAGGCACTGCAATGGCTGCACAGGGGAGTGGTGGAGTTGCCGCCCCTGGCAGTGTTCAAGAGGCATCTGGAGGAGGAGCTACGAGGTCTGGTTTAGTGCTTGTGGTGGCAGTGGTAATGTGAGGATGGCTGGACCAGGTGATCTTGCAGGTTGTGCCCAACCTTGCGATTCTACGATTCTATGACAGTCAGGGTTAGGTTGTAGGTTGGGAGTCAAGAATGGACACAGCAGGAGGAGAGAGGTGTTAGGGAGCAGCCAAGGCATCACAAGGCATCAAAAAGCCCTGAAAAGCAACACAAAGCCACAGTCAGGAAGCTTGGGATTATCATGAGCAGCATCCAGGATGCTAGAGATTATTTGCTACTGTACCAAATGGGAGCTGCAGACACCCCAAAGCCAGACAAAACGGGAACAAGTCTGGAGCTCTGATTCATGCACCCCACAGCCTCAGCATTGCAAGCTGAGGTGCCTTGCTGTGTGTTGCATTCATCCCAGTCCTTGTGAATGAAGACTCCACAGGCAGTCAAGGCGTTGAGTGAGCACAAGTGTGCTTTTATTATTAAAGGAAAAGACAGGAGGGCGTGAGAGGTCCAGGTAAAGATGGGAATCGTCCTCTCTTGGACGGAAAGATCACGTAGAGAGTGGCTCAGAGCTCTCAGAGATGCTGCACGGTGCCTGGGACTGGAGGCCTGATTCTAAGCCCCCCTCCAAGAGGCTCTGCTGCTCCTCCTCGCTGATGCTGACCTGCTCCTGCAAGGAGGTACTGCTGTTGGGGCACTCGGGCTCTGCTTGGGCTGGGCTGCACTGCAGAGGCACCGGGTCACAGTCCAGGCTGCCTGTGGTGTCTGGCAGGCTCAGGTCAGCATCTTCAGCAGAGCTGGGAGAAATGAGGGCTTGAACTTGGATGAGCTCCTCGTGTCCATCACTGTTGTTATGCGGCAGGCTGTCACGTGATCCGCAGCCATTTGTGCTTTCTAACAGCTCTCCATTGGTGGAAGCACACAGCCCAGCTTCACTACTTGCTCCGGCTTTGCTCGGTTGACAAGAGCTTGAATCACCTATAAAAGAATGAACAGGGGTTGGTGTCAAACTTTCACAAGCTGAATTACGAAAGTGGTCCTTGATCGGGGAGAACTGAAGGTGTCAGGTATGGGTTGGAACGCTGGAAGTAGATACAAGCCCACTGACAGCAAGAATTCTATGTTGCTGAAAAGCAAGGCGTTGAAAGCTGGATTTGCACCCTTACCTGCCAGCACTACGATTTCTATTTCTGAGGGCTCCCTGGGATGGTGCTGTGGCTGGCGTTTGGCCCCAGACGATGGTTTCCCCAGGCTGAAGCAGGAACACCAACAGCCAGCTGGTGATTCCTTTATCTTGCTGGGTGGACTTGGTCTGGAGAGAGAGAAAACAGGGAATGGTGTGAGCCGTGCGTGGCGCAGGGTGAGGGAAGAGCTGCACTGAGCTCGTGCCAACAGTGGCTTGTTCCTAGCACCGCCTGGTTCCTGCTGAAACACAGCTTAGAAACTCGCTCCATTTCAAGCAGTTGAGGATGGTTCCATTCCTATAGCTCAGCCCTGAGGTTTTGCTGGCTAAATTCCCCTCAACTGTGTCAAGCAAGATGCAGAGCATGTGAGGTCCACAGGCTCCACACCTGTACAGGACAGCATCAAAGGGTGGCTTTGATTGAGTAGGCAGGCATAACTGCTGGCTGAGCAATTGCACAGCCATAAAGGAACTTCAAAAGCATCTCTGACTCTGAC